TATTTTCTTAAATCCTTTTCATCAGAACCATACTTTAGTTCAAGAGCGTCCCATAACTCCAAAGAAGTTTTTGTATTACAAAATATTTTATAAATATTATTAGATAGAGCACTCAAAATACGACCATGACACAAAATATCTTTATCACTAGAAGAACTAGCTTCAACCAAGGCACAATCAGGACAATTTTCATATTTTTCATTTAAAATAAAAGAAAATAAACTCAACTCTGTAAGCCAAAATTTCATCTGTTGTTACCAACATAAAAAATTTTCACCATTAAATTTTTCTGGCTTACTACTCAAAGACTTTAAAATATCCATTGCAGACATGTTGATATTGAACAAGAAAAGAAAAGTTTTTCTCTCTAATATTGTTAGAAAAATAAATTTAATAGAGCACAAGAAAAAATAAATATTTAGATTAATCAATAAAACCAATATCAACAACACAATGCATACTATAAAATTAAAAACAAAATAATCAGTAACAACTAATTAAACACAAAGAGCAACTTAGAATATTAAATAATAGGTTTAGAGTAGCCTGAATTGAAGCACGTATAGCGCTATCCTTAGAGGGAAAACGCCCTCACTGCACTGGTAATTTAGAGTCTTATAGTGCGCTCCTCTCCCAAGATACGTCAACCCGTTAGACCGTTTGAGTGCAGCGAAAGATCCCCGAACCAAAGAACACCGCTCCAAAATTATAATTTTGCAGTAGAAATAATATTGAGGGAGAGGTACAAATGAACTTGCTATGTGTCTGTCTTTTACTAGGCCTTCTATATATATATATATATATATATATACCAGCAGTCACTCGTAGTTGTTTAGAAAATATTATTAATTAATTTAATCTTGGAGGCCAAGAGAAAGGTGCTCAATGTGCAGCACACTCTTCGGAAAATGCAACGTCCTTATTCATGTCGTTGGAAGGAAATAACAAAAGGATATGGTGTTATAAATAGGGATGGCAATAGGACCCCATGGGGGTGGGTAATAGTAAACTCGCCCCCGCCCTGCTGTATGAAAATTGGCCCCATACCCACCACATATCCACGCGGGTATCCATTAAGCGGGTATTCGTAAATTTCTTGAATACCCACGGATATCCATAGATATCCATGGATATTTATAAATTTTTTAAAAAATTAAAAAAATTATATTACAAATAATTTTAAATTTATATTTAATGTCATTGAAATATTAAAAATAAAAAATCAATGTTAATTTTGAATTTTTATTTAATGTTAATTTTGTTGAAATAATAATAAAGATGCAAGATAATCAATAGCTTAAAATACATCAATCTTACACAAGTAAGTGAAAGTCTCATATCACAAAGCTATAGTAATTCAATCTCATAATTAAAAACGTAAGTAAACAACTTAAAATACATAAATCTTATTGGTCCAATCAAAGCTAGAAAATTAATCAAATTACATCCAACATAATTCTATGGAAAGAAAATAAGATGAGAGTATAGTTTTAGGGTTATGTGATAATTAGGATATTTAATAAATATTATTAAACAGGTACCCGCGGTATGGATATCATCATACCCGACCCCGCCCCATTTATAAACGGGTAAAAAATTATCCGGCCCCATTATCTGCGGGTACCTAATTAGCCTATCCATTTATTATTTGTAGTGGATTTTACCCACAAATACCCGCGGGTACGGGTATTTTTGTCATCCCTAGCTATAAAGCAAAACGGTAGTATAAACTGATCCCCAAAAGTTCGTTTCCATTATAGGTCTTATTAAATATATATATATATATATATATATATATATTAAATTAAAAAATACTAATTTCTAACAGAATATGTGCAATCCACACGAGCAATAGGCCAGTCTTAGACTTACCAACATGGAAAAAACTTAACACAATAACGACTCAATAAAAGAATAATAAGTGATAAAAATAAAATCTTCAACTTGCAAAACTCAATAAGAAATATAAAAAAAAATAGAAAATTAAAGAAAACTCAAACACACAAGAGATACAAAAAAAGTTTAATGTAAAAAAAAACTTCAATATAAAGGTAAAAATATGGGTCATCAAGACCAAAGAAATAGCTTCACTCTAATCAATAGGATACAAAAAAGTCTTTAATTAGTGCACCAAAATAGTGCTTATAAATCACCCAAAGCAAACCAAGCAACAATGTTCCCAAATAAGAAACAAAATGAAAAATCTCAAAAACAGAATTATTTACTAAGAAATATTTTTCTCCCACTTTATACCTTCTTTCGATGATCCAACTATTGATAAACAAATAATCATGTCTTGTGAACCTGTCTTCAACAAATCAACAACAATTAAGTGAGTCTCTTTTTCTCAATGATCTAACTCATTTTTTTCTTGGTTAAGTAAAATATCGTGGACTTATATTTAGACTTATTCTCCTTAAAGGAAGAGAGTCTAAAACCCAACATATCCATGATTAAAACAGACCATAAAAGGGGCCATGATTAAAAAGGAGTCAATTTTTTTTAAAATTATAATAAGTTTTTTTATATTATTTTTAAAATCATTATCTATTATATATTAGAATCCTTTCTCTTTTTGAAGTTTCTATGGTAACTTTGGTATTATCTTTGGCTTGCTCTCTGATGGTTGAGCTTCTCACTTCATAGTTGAGTTTCGTATTTTGAAGTATATTCTGTTTTCTATTCATCTCCCTAGGCTTGCTTAGGTAACTCAAGTGGATTGGCATCCCCATCTTATGGCTTCATAAAATGTAACACAGATGGTAGTGCGAGCAGTTCTCTAAGGCCTGCTAATAGTGGGGGCTTATTTAAGGATAGTAGTGGGGCTTTCTTAGGTGGGTTTGCTTCATACATTGCTGTTGCTGATGCTCTAAGAGAGGAGTTGGTTGTTACTATAGTGGCAATTCAATATGTCTCTTCTATAGGGTGGCACGGGTTATAGTTAAAACGTGATTCATGGTTGGTTTTAAAAGTTTTTCATAATCACTAGTACAAAAGAGGTGTACTACGTCGGACATTTTCAGCTTTTTACGTCAGAAAACATACCGACGTAGAAGCGGGAGATGTAAATTTTATGTCGGATTCACAAAACTGACGTAAATTTACGTCAGACATTACGACATCCGACGTAAAAAAGTAGGAAAAAAAATATAAAAAAAACATAAAAATGCCAGCAGAACGGCCCATTCTCCAAGCAGAACAGGCCGTTCTGCTTGGAGAACGGCCCGTTCTGCTTGGAGAACGGGCCGTTCTGCTTCTAGAACAAGCCATTCAGCTTCGTATAACAACTTAAAAGAAAACGCCCACTACCTATACAAATAAAACAACCAAAAAATCAAATAAAACAAATAGCCAGAGTAGCAATGCGAAGTAGAAAAGTGTTAAGGAAACCTTGATTCATACCTGAGGAGCAGCAACAATGTGCAAATGAGTAACAAAGAGTTCATCCCTCTGCAAAAGACAAAAAAACGATTCAGTAACAAAGGAGAGGGAGAGGGTTTAGAGAGAAAAAAATGAAAAGTGATGAAGAGTGAATGCGCGCGGTGTGCCTCGCGCTCTCTTATTCAAATTTGCGTCCTTTTTTACGTCGGACCTGGTAGGGTCCGACGTAAAAAGTCCAATCTACGTCGGACACAACACACCTCCGACGTAAATTGGACTTTTTACGTCGGACCCTACCAGGTCCGACGTAAAAAAGTTCGCAAAAATTACAAAAATTCCACCGCGTTTTTTTTACGTCGGATTTAAGTATTTCTGACGTAAAAGAGGTGACGTAATATGCTAATTTTCCACTAGTGAATATATCCTATCTTGGTACCTTGGTCCATTGTAGTAGATATAAGCATTGTTTGCTTTTGTGCTCCAATGCAGTTTCAAGTTTCTCACATCTTCAAAGAAGGTAATCAATGTGCTAATAGATTGGTACGTAGCTTATAGTTTAGCTCATAGGAGTAATTTTATTATTTGGTGGGACACTTTGTTGTCGTCTATTTGATTGGAGGTTTTTTTTAATCATTGTGATCTTCCTTTTAGATTTTGTTAATTTTCTCTCATGGGTTTTGATATGACCCTCCTATGCACTTTGTATTATTTTTCTATTTTTATTTTATATATTTGGGTGTGCTGCAAATGAATGATAAGTTTTTGAGGTGTCAATGTTATTAGAATATCTCTGTCCTATAGTGATGTTGTATATGTCTAACTTTTTAAGATTTGTTAACATTATTTTATTTATTTAATATAATAAAACATGTTATTTTTAATTAAATTATATTTATTTTATATTAAAATTAAAATATTTATATTCGAGGATCCTTATTTATCGTTATACCTAAGATTCGTAAAATGCTAGTACCGGCTCTAAGGTGCTTGTTGCTGGCTAGACCCGAGAAAAAAAAACATAACACGAACTGAACTATAAAAAGAAAAATGACATAGGCCATGACTTTAGCAAATTAGATATTAAAGAATTAGAACAAAAAGGCTAAGGCAGAAATATGAAGAAAAAAAAAATTGTTTTGCTTCAAATTGCAAGAGAAGCATTTTAGAAGCTGAGTTACACAAGATTTAGGGTTTAGAGATGTGAAACGTGTACCGAAATGGTTAATTGTTGGTCATCTAATTTTTATGAGATTGATTTCGTCTGGTTATCCACTTGTGCTCATTTCAAAGATAATAATAACAATAATTTATTACAGTTTGTTAGGGTTGAAATCGAGTCTGATTTGTTAAAGGCGTAGAAAACTTGCAAGGAACAATTTTCATTGGCAAAGATCTCTCGTTTTCTCATGAAGAACATTGACTTTGGAGGGATAAAGACAAAGAGAATTATTTAACACTTCAAATCAAAGGTGACAAAAATGTCTTCATTCCTTTGCAATGCAAATAAATCAGTTAACCAACAATTAAAGGAAGTTGAGCTAACAGTTCTTACAGTTGCACCATCCCACCAACTCACCTCAATCATTTAGTTACAAAGTTTCCTCTATAAAAGACCACACACACACAACACCTTTAGTGCACACTCACAAAACATATCTAAACACTTGCAAAGATCTCCAACTCCTATCAACAAGTTCTTGTGTTGTACCATGGCTAATTGCAGATTTTCATTAGTGATTTTTTCATCTATGATTCTAATGCTATTGTCAGCAAGCAGTGGAGCACGAAATCTTGAGGAATCAACATTGCCTAAGCCAGAAATTCCACAACTTGATAAACCTGAGTTACCACCTCTTCCTGAATTACCAAAGCCTGAGTTACCTAAACCAGAGATTCCTAAGGTTCCTGAATTTCCTAAGCCTGAGGTTCCTAAAGTTCCTGAGTTGCCAAAACCAGAGTTACCTAAAGTTCCTGAATTGCCTAAACCAGAGTTACCTAAAGTTCCTGAATTGCCTCAAGTTCCTGAGCTGCCTAAAGTGCCTGAATTGCCTAAACCAGAGTTACCTAAAGTTCCTGAATTGCCTCAAGTTCCTGAGCTGCCTAAAGTGCCTGAATTGCCTAAAGTACCTGAGTTGCCTAAAGTACCTGAACCTGAGTTGCCTAAAGTACCTGAGTTCCCTAAAGTACCTGAACCTGAGTTCCCTAAAGTTCCTCAAGTTCCTAAAGTATTTCCTACCACCAATCCTTGAGTTTCATGGATGTGATATGAGTTAGCATATGATAATTTGCACTTGTGTTAGTGTATAATACTATAATATGCTGCTGGTCCTTGAGAGTGATTATCTTAGTTTACTATATTTTGAACTTTAGTGTACGTTAAGTTAGAAGTTATGTTTATAGTTGATTATTGTTATACTACTACATACTGATAGACATTATCCTTCATGTACGAGTTAAATGTTGTGATTTTAATAAGATTGTGTACTTTCTACTCCAATTTGAGCTACCCAATTTCCATTGACAAATGATGCTTTCTGCAAGCAAAGGAGACTGTGATTAGGGGATCGTATAACTAAAGATGGTTACTGTTATGCCTCGAGCAACTGCACTTGTTCATAAGAGAAGTATAAAGAAAGTGGTTTTCTGCTTTTCACGAGTAATAATGATGATGACACGTATGACATATTGATTCATAACATGATTAGGAGACACTACGTTGCATGGATCCTGTACCACGCGTATACGAGATTTTTCAAAAGGGGTATGTGTACGTTAATCTAAATTTTAAAAAATATACATATATTAAAAAAATAATTATATATATACATGATTAAATTCGGTGAATAATAAAGAAACACAAATAAGCATAATTTATAACATAAAATAGTTAAATTCTTCAAAATGAAAAACAAATATCATAAAAAGTTGATCAATATTATAACACTTAAAGTATGATTATGATATCACGGGTTAACCATTTCAATCTTAGGGGATGTATTGGTTTAAGATTTCGTAGGATTTTAAAAGACTTTTTTTGAGTAAAAAAGTCCCTTGGTATTCAATCAGGATTTTATGTCACTTAAAAATAATCCAGTGATATTCAATCTGGATTTTCAATATTTTTTAAAGAGTCCATTAAAATCCACTGGTATTCATTTGAGATTTTTTACAACTTAAAAACAATCCATTGGTATTCAAAAATATAAGGATTTTAAAGGATTGTTGTGTGAGAGGGATTTTGAAGGACTTTTTAGTGTTATCTATAAATACCAGATTCATAAAACAATCACATCCAAACCCATCGGATTTTGAAGGATTGTTTGAAGTTATTTTTCAAGTGTTTCAAGAATTTTCAAGTGAGTTTTTCATTTTTTTTTTCTATGCTCCTGTCTTCTCCATTTTTTCTCTACTAATAATACTACATTATTGTTCATTGCTCATATATAATATTGTAGTACTGTTCTCATCTCATTCCCCTATTTTGTGAAACTCTGATATGTAAATGATAGTGTCATTGACTTGCTCTATTTTTCTGTTCGTTCTCTTTAATTGACTTGCTTTATTT